ACACCCGTATATCACACCCGGGACTTCGCCGTACCTTGGAATTCCCGTCAGTGATGCTGAATATGAAATCCCCAGACGTTCTGTCAAGTATTTCGCTTTTCCTTTGTCCTTTATCATAGTCAACTAGGATTACTTCGTTATTTACCACTGAGACTTCGTCAGAGTGATTGTGAATAGAAACTGTTGCATCCGATGACCAAAACTTTTCATGCGTTCAAGATCCAAACCGGTTCACACTCGATCGATTATTGCATCTTGGATTCAAGGACGGTGATTGTGTAGCCTGATTTCGTTCTCACGTCACTTTTTCTCTGGAATACTGTGTACCGATCCTGCATTTCATCACTGTGAGACTGCACCTTGATGTGATTTTATGGCTTGTGCGCCTCTGTGACTAAACGAGCTGCACCGGATGGCTTTTTATCAGACTAGATTTTATCATTCCGGTAAGGCCAGAAGGTAGAGGTTAGACAAGGTTCAGTATCCTGATACTCCAAGTTGGATATTCAACTCTGGTCGACTGCTCGATCAGTGACATGATGGGGAAGCGGTAGATCCAAGTAAGCGAGCCTCCACTTCACTTTTCGCATCCTTTTGCGGCTAGGCTGTTTTTAGAACTAAAGGCTCCGGTTAATAACCCTAATCGCTCTTTTGCTTAATGGTTGAGCTCTCGAGCCTATCCACTAACTATGAAAGAAATCCATACTGCGTTGATCCTCGCGGCAGAGAATCGGGACCGCGCTGCCCATTGCATCGAACAAAAGTTGGGTAGTGATAAATGGGCTACTGTTCAGACATCTCAATCTTTGTTTGATTCTTTGTCTTCCTTTGACCCCTCCTCTGACCCATAACATCCCATCGGGCAACTTGTTTGTCACATTCTTAAGCTCGTTTCCAAATAACACGATAAGCAGTAAATCACCAAATAACTTGCAGCTTCTGACTCTTCCCAATTGCTGAATTTCGGGGCCTTCAAGTAGAGGACTCTCATGCACATAGGTTAACAAGCTCGGCTTGCGCGTGCACCGGACTCCTTAGGGATTTATGTCTCGGCTGTGTATCGGAGACTCGAATTAATGACCTTACTAGTGTAAATATAAGCCAAATAAGTGTGCTCAAACTCGGTTGCAGATCATCGCTTATTTGATCCAGCCGTCGGCGCCCGCTTTGAATCAGAACGAGGGCAAGAGCTCAGCGCGCTGCTGCGTGGCAGTGTAGGCGAACAGTGGGATCAGATTAAACGAGCAGTGCACTCTGCAGCGAGGGATCAGAAGCGGCATCTCATCCGAGGCATTAGATGTCTGATGAGTCAATAGCACTTATGGATAAAAAGTGGCAAATCGCGACCGCCCGGAATCAAGGCAGGGGTAAATGGCGTCTGCAATGTCCAATCATCAAGAGACTCAAGAAGAACCGTGAAAATAGTGGGCAATAATAGTTACTGAAATGGAATTAACAGTTGCATCGGGGAATAGTCAAAGACTGTTCCAACTGATAAGAAATACGGAAGGTCGGTGAACCCCGGTTAGTGAAACAATATGCGATAAAAGTAGACAAGCTATTCACAGTGGGGAATAACGGCTTGATCGGTGGGGGGAGTATTCCAATAAACGGTTCAGCTGGCCAGGCGCTAATCAGACTATCTCATCTGATGTAGTTGAGGCTCCGTGGGCAATGGCAGGTGAACCTCCTACAGAAGCAGATGTGCGATATTGCATCCAAGCCCTGAAGAAGGGACCGCCTGTGTGTTGTCACCCAGCAAGGTGATGTCATCGGCGTATTCCAAGTCAAGGACTCTGTTCCCTGGAAGGAGTTTTACTCCACCGTTTTTCTAGACTGGACAAAGCATTCCGTAGAACATTTTGTACGGTGAAGTTGAAAAGAAATGGGGACTTATGGAGGCCTTGCCAAACTTCACTGGAGACAGCGAAGGGTGGCGAAAGCCGGCCACAGGCTCTAACCCGATCTGAGGTATGACGATACAACTCTTTGAGGATCGCACACTTCTCCGGTACGGTGGACGACGACCTCTTAGACTCCATTACCTCATTTAGTGCGTAACATCTGGTCACAAGAACGTATTCCGTCAACCTGGAGCGAATCACTGATCGTTTCAATTTTTAAAAAGGGATCTCGCATGCGGCTTCCACAACGTTAGTTCACAGAACGCTTAAAAAAGGACAGTGGCAACTGGTTGATTAAATAACTAATGAAATGGAACTAGCCTTTACGTCTGAACATCGGAGGTCACCGGACTCCAGTTAATGAAACTATTTATGAAAAAACTGGATAACCTATTCTTATTTAATGACAACACATTAATTGCTGGGTGGGCTACTTTGCTGAAGAGTTCAGCTGGCCTAGAACTAAGCGGAATATCTCATCTGTTAAAGTTGAAACTTCGTGGTCTGTACCGTATGTTCCTCTGAAGTAAGCCGAAGTACGGTCTGGTCTACCATTCCATCTCTGAAGGATGGAATGGTAGCTGTCTTTGTTTACTTTGTCTTAATGGAATGCCCTAGATGTATGTTAACTTATTATGATCACTATAGTCCACTTTATTTGAGTAAGGGTCTAAAGCGAACCGAGTAACTCGTTTATCACCAACAACAGTATCCTTGAAGTGTGCCCTATTTCATCATCTCTGTTCAGTTTCGTCGTAGACACAATATTGGTCTCAAAAATGTTGGTATTGAATGAACAGCTGGAGAAAAGCGGTGCGTAACGGCGCACGAAAGTGCATGGTTAATGGTTGTTCAAACGGAAAACTGAACCACCACCGCAACCGACAAGGTGTGGGTGTGGTTCGTATGCCTCCTCATGTTTGGTTTGGAATCAGGATTTTTGGCCAACTCCCCCAAGTGAACTACCATCAACCATCAACCCGGTTATAGTCCTGGATGTCAACTTTTTGTCCTCTCACTTAGGTGGGAAACACTGCCACGAGAAGGCAATGAGTAGGGCCTCCTCAGCAGAGGCTATTTGAGACGCTTGGTCGTATGGGAGCATTTCGCTAGATGCAAGGAAAGGGTGACCAGCTGCAACCCTAGATACTTACCCCGGATCATATTGAGGCTTCAGATTAAACAATGAACTAAGTTGATCATAATCTCGACGGTCTTACGTAGTAGTAGTGTTATAATTCCAGAAGGCAATGCTGATCGAGGGTATTTGTTTATTGAGGATTACAGATGGAAGGTCAGTAATTTGGAATGCATAACAAAAACCTAATCGGAAACGTGCCATCGCAATTCTTTTCGACACACAGGGTAATGTATAGAGCAGTGGGTAGTTATTCCTCCAGACATATCAATTGGCCCTCGGTGGTCTTGCTATATTTTTTTACCATCGAAAATTACCTACTACTCACAAGTGAGTAATATCTCACAACAGTAGTGGCTGCTCTCGCTCACTTCGTGAATTTGGGGCATCCCGTCCCCAGGAAAATAAGTTCATATGATTTGGTGGAGTTTTGAATCCCAACCACGACCGTCTAGCCAACCAAAAGCGATTGATAAAAGTTTTCAAACTTACTAAAACAAAACTTTCATTGTGACCGATCGGTGCAGCTGCGAAGAACCATCCATCGGAACAACAACAATGGGTTTACACTCCTCTCCGTTATCCTGCTTTTGTCTGTTGCAATCAGCCACATATACCTTTGCTATGATTGTGTGACATGGAACTGCATCGGCGTGCATCTTCGCCGACTTGTGAATGTGTTGTGTCTACGCGTTCCTAATTTTGATTTATTGTTCTCCGTACTCATTTATCGTACTATTTGGTGCTTCCCATGTACTCTATAATTATTATTCCACAATCCGACCTAATTATACACGTTACTGAATGACGAAATGTAACAACTTAACCGTTTCCAAATTGTGCTGGCTAGTTGAATATCCCTACTCTCTCTCCCTCTCTCTCTCTCTCTCTCTCTCTCTCTCTCTCTCTCTCTTATCTCTGTTTGTATTGCTTGACTATCTTCAAAAAATAGTGACTTGTTTAATGCAATCCAGTCGGGCTTATATATAACTAGTCTAGCTAGTGTGATAAGTGGTTTATATCTACCATCTGTCTAATTCTGGTTTCTTTATGCAAAGAATCGTTTTCTAAAACCGATGAATTCTATCTCGTTTCCCTGGTCACTTTTTTCCCCCGATACCTCCAAAATCATGGTTCAAAATTAGTTTTCAATAAACGATCGGTCAATTCTCTTGTAATCGTTGTTTGATGCTACCACTTCGATAGCGTTATGCCCACTTTGTTGTCGGCTAAAATGTCTATTTCCATGTTCTGAGAATGTTTATCTTTTTTCAACTTTCTGCTAACACAATGACATCCTGTGGAAGATAATCCACGCGGGTGGGGGTGGGGTGGGGGCGGTAATGAATCGGAGTCAGAGCGGAGTCTCTGCATCGGGACACGCAAACGCGTTGCACTTCAGGTTAGACTAGAAACAAACGAAGGTGTCGTTTTATCTATAACTGACCGTAGTGGATACCGCAACCACAGAGTTATCAATTGTTCCATCGATCTAAACAATCCGTCCAATTTTTCATGGGTATCACAATAAAAGAGGTGACTTACTATTCGCTAATGTGTTCACTTGACTGTTAATTTGGTCAGTAGACATCGGAATAACATGTCTACATTCTCGATTATCACATGATTTGTCTGAGTTCGATTTTGAATGCCAATTTAGCCCTGCATTAATCGAAAAAATACCATTACCGTTGTCATGACAATGGCTGTTTAGCGACTCCATTAAGTTAATGTAGAAAAATGCAATGCCGAATCAGGCGGAACGAATTCCATGAGATGGTAAATGAATGTCTATTTACTAAAACCGCCACCAAATGAGCTGTTCGCTACGCAGTATGGAATTTAAGTACTCCGAGACACAAAACTCAACGTGAATATCGTTTAAATGTTATCGTGTTAAAACTGTCGTTTGTTTGAAGGTCGACAACCCTCGAGGGCAACATCTACTCGGACCTTGAATGTATCTATGTATTTTCGTATTTCCCGACGTTCTAATTGTCGTTTATAATGTACTGCATCCGTCCGTCCTCAATCATTCACATAGTTCAGATAATCCTCCTTGCCCTATCCCTCTTCTTCCGTGCCTTCTATCGTGGACAGGTTTAAAGTCTGGCATTCAGGACTCAAGTGATAGTGATGAGCTTCCGGTTGACAAACACGAATCAACGGAACAGAAACGCTCGAAGCAGTCTCACCTGTTGCAACAGGAAGAGCTCAGACGTGAGGAACTAGCTTCCGAAATGCTAGGTATGGCTCGTGAACTGAAGGATCGGTCCGAAGCGATGAGCTCGCGACTACAATCAGATCGAGCAGTTGTCGAGGCCAGTGTCAGTCAGGCAGACCGAAACAAGGCCGAATTGGTCAAAGCAATGCATCAACTCTCGGAAGAACTCGGATCGCGTTGTGCCTGTTTCGTTTGGATTGCATTTCTCATCGCTGTGATTGTGTTCGTGATGATGGTTTTCTTTATGAAAATGTTTCGCAAACGAACGGTTGTCTACACCACGACTTACCGAAGTGATCTGTAACCAAAGCATACACAAACACCAGTGCAGAAATGTATAGGGATGATGAAAAATTCACCGATTGTTCCATCATGCTGCTACCTTGTTTTTTTCTCTTCTAAGAATGTCTTTCATTTGAGATTCTTCTCATACTACGTGCCTATTGTGATGATGCTAATAAAAGACTTTTCAAAGTTTCTCACTTTTTCTATTTTTCTTCATTTATGTCTTTGAAATTGTGCTTCTAGATTCATTCCTTTGTAATCTCTTGTGTTGCACGTGGCTTTTTTAACCACAGCGAGTTCGGTTGATACTAATCGCGATGGATCACCGAGGCCTATTCAGAGGTCTGTTAGGAATCTGAACTGGGTTTGGATTAGTTATTTTGAAAAGTAAAAGCCTTTAACCAAATTTGGTTCGAATATCTTCATCGCAAAACACCAACCGATCGCTCGAGATATACGGATTGATTGAGCGTTTCTGCGCTCCGTGGAGCTGATAGACATCTAATAAGAATCTTTGCTATTTTGTAGGACGTTAATCATTTTATACACACTCACCCAAACATTAGTGGGAAACCGATACGCCTCGCAACAAAAGTATTGCCCCCCTTCCTAAATTTTTAGATTATCTCTACTCCCACATGTATGATCATCATCTTTGAAAACCTAAACGCTAACTGAATGAAAAGCCGAATTGCGTAATTTGCTCAAGTTATCATTAATTTTAACGAAGATTTGTTGAGAAAACAAAATTTTCACATCGACAAAAGTATTGCACTCCCTCCCCATGGAATTCAGACATTTACTCGGTTTTGAAACGGATATGATAGACATCCCCGAGTTCATACTTTGGTAAGACAGCTGGCAACCATAGTGAGTCAGTCAGTCAGTCAGTGGTTGACAGAATGATTTAGACTACGGTCAAACTCACATCACACATGATGACCTTGAAGTAACCAAAAAAACATCCAAGTAGGTCACTGTAAGTCATTGACTATCATGACACAACACAAGAGGCTTACTGATGGCGAGAAATCCAGTACTGCTGCCTTTCATGAGATCAACGCCAGCACATAAAAGATAGCCAGACCCTGTAGTAGGTCGCAATCACACTGGCAAGCTATTTGAAGTGAAACAGCTAGAAGTGAGTCATAAATGGATTAACTACAACCAGGAGCTCTCGGGACAAGATAAGGGCAGATTGCTATGTATTCCTTCCAACCCCGTGTGTCATGCATTGGAGGTGAAAACGGTTTAACGTTTCAGAGAGGTCTGAAAGTGGTAAAGACAGGTATTTCTTCGGTACTTCTCTCCTGGTCGATACAGTACATAAAGGAACATGTAGACACAACGTAACGTGATAGTGTAAGTGTACATTGGAGCGGTACGTTATGCTAGCAATGGTATCGAATAATCATCACCCTGAAACCATTTTCCAGCACAATATGGGCCATAGTTCTATACTCGTATCTATTCTGTCGCGGCATCAAAACAGCGGTGTGGTCTGTGTGCAACCCAGATTTGAACATTTGGGCTATTCTCACCCTTAAAGTGCACAAACACTCCAGAGTTTACATCACAAAATGTGAATTAGAATCATTTTTGCTTAGGTGGAATAATATCGACACGGACACGGCTTCAGTAAATCAAGTCTATGACCGGGGGGGGGGGG